CTACAGCAAGATGACGACAAGGGTTATAGGCCCATAGAGTTTATGTCTGCGCGACTGCCGTCTGAGAAGGTTGCCAACTCCACCTATGAAAGGGAGTTGTATGCCTTAGTTTATGCACTAAACACGTGGAAGCACTACTTGTTAGGGAGGCACTTCACTGTGTATTCAGACCACTCTACCCTGAAGTGGATAAAGACACAACCGAGGCTCTCTGATAAGCTGGTACGATGGTCTGCGCTTATTGATACCTTCGATTTTGAGTTGAAAACGATCCAAGGTAAGTCTAATGTGGTCGCAGATGCATTGTCCAGACGGAGCGACTTCTTTGGTGCAATTGTCTCTTACTTGGATATAGGGAATGACCTGAAAGATCAAATTCGCCAAGGATATGCTACTGATCCTATCTGGAAACCAATCATGGATGTCCTTGTACGAGACCCATCCCAACTACCCAACTATAGAATGACTAATGGATTGTTATTCTTGATTGACCAAACTGAACAAAGACTGTGCATTCCTCATAAGAGATAAAGAGTGTATTGATTGGGGAATGTCACGATTCTGAGGGTCACTTTGGTTTCAAGAAAACATATGCTGAAGTCAGAGAACGTTGTGAATGGAAGAGACTTAAAGAAGACGTACTAACATTTGTTCGTACTTGTTTAGTGTGTCAGAGAAACAAGCCATCGCACGAGAATCCAAGCCATTACGTATACCAAGCGTACTAGGTGAGTCTATCTCAATTGACTTCACGAGTCTGGTTAAAAGTTGCAATGGTAACAGTCAAGTGATGGTAATTGTGGACCGTTTCTCTAAATATGCTATGCTTGTTCCCTTACCAGCAGAAGCGCGTTCTGAACTTGTCATTCAGAAATTTCAGATGCGATGGGTTACTTGAGTATGGGTTTCCCAAAACCATTGTGTCTGATCGAGATTTCAGGCTCACCAGTCTGCCATGGCAAAAGCTGATGGAAGCTTATGGCACACGGCTGACCATGTCATCAGGGAGGCATCCCGAAATGAATGGCCAGACTGAACAGATGAACCGTCTGTGCCAACAACTTTTGCATATGTATATTAGACCCGATCAGATTGATTGGGACGAGAACTTACCTAAGATTGCAAGGGCATATAACAATAGTGTCCACACGTCTACTGGACGTACCCCAAATGCACTTCACAAAGGGTGGAAGCCTAAACGTCCCATTGATGTACTGAACCGGGACTGGTTCCTTAGATTGCCCCCAGGGACCCGAGAATATGCAATCTTGTTTCAGGAAGACACTCAGAAAGTTAAAGATAACCTAAGGAAAGCTCAACTACGAATGATTGAACAAGCCAACAAGCACCGTCAACCGTCTACATTTAAAGAAGGTGATTTGGTTTGGGTAAAATCTGAAGAGTTTTCACTAGAAGAAGATGTCTCCCAGACATTGCTACCTGTCTATTTGGACCCTGGGAAGTTCTCAAGGTAATTGGAGATGCAGAGGGACCGTCTTATCGAGTGGATATTCCCCCTCATCTCAAAACATACCCTGTCTTTCATGCGTCCAAATTGTTGCCTTACGTAGAAGGAAATGAGTTTCCTCACAGACCCTATATGATTCCACCAGACATGGATGGCGGATACGAGGTTGACCGGATCATAGAGCATGGTTACTTCTCTACGGGAGGACGTGGACGACCTCAGAAGCAGTTCAAGGTACGTTTTAAAACTCAAGCACCATCTGAGGACAGATGGTTTAGCAAACGAGAACTCCTTGAAACTGCTCCTGATATTGTCGCTGCTTATGAACAAGCGTTAAAGTCGTAAATATTTCTGCGGTGGAACTCTAAAATGGGTCGGCAGGAATGTAATAACCCTGTTCAGAAGTAGCCTGGGGCTTAGAATTCAGCCCCAGGCCACGTAGACCTGAGAAGGTCTGCGCTGGGCTGTGTGACCAAGACACGCCCAGGCCTGAGTCTGTCGAGTGTGGCTGTGTGACCGCACGCTGCACACCGGAAATTCAAGAGTCAAAGTCAACTGTAGAGTCAAAGGTACCGCACCCAGGCCCTGGGATGGATACACTCACTTGTTGTGCGCAGGTACCCAGACA